CTTCTTTTTTTGTCAGCTGTAGCTTGGATAAATTCTCAGACCCTCACCATGAGTGAGACTGCACAAATGCACAAGAAAACGTTGTGCAGGATGGGAACAAGCGTCTAGATGCAGAAGGTGGTATTTTAGGCAGAGGTAGTGAAAGATGATGGTTATGTATCTTAGTGTTGAGGGAACTAAAGCATGAAGGGACCAGGCATTTTCAGTCCTTAAAATCTCAGAAGACTTGGTAGACTGTAGAGTTCTGGGATCAGCTGATGAAAAAAGCAAAGTATTAACAAGGTTGTTGATCAAAATACTTTATTCTGTAGCAGTCTGACTTTTTGTTTATGGCCTGCAGTAAATCTGGAGAGGTTCCCAGAAAGTCATTGAATGGGAACACTAGATACATTAAACAACTGATAATAGTTCTTCAGAGTGATGAAAACTGAGTGCTTTTCTTAAATAACAAAAAAGATCCCTGACTTTTAAGAGAAGCTGGTCATTGCTGAGCGTGAATGGTCTCGCTGCACTCTAGCAGCTCTGTCAAGATGCTGCTGTTGAATTGTGGGAAGCCAGTTTTGTGGCTCTGCAGGCATGAGGGATGAAACCTGATGGTAGGCTCTGCTCTTTGATCTCTTCTAAAGCTTTCCTGATCAGCCTTTCTTCGGGATAGCTGTATGCTTACAACCTGTAGTATCTTCACCTCCATCAGTGTTTTTAAAATATAAGCTACTATTCAGGATTTCTTCTAAGGAAAAATTAGTGGCTCTCTTCTCCTGGTTTGTAGTAATTTATTTTCAAGGTAGAAGGAAGCACTGATTTCTTTCATGTAGGTCAGTGTAGAGTTGCTATATAGCAGTTGCTTTTACTCAGTTGCAACTTAGACTAGCAATTAAATCAAATGATAACAAGGCCTACCATGTAATTTCACTGCTCCATTGACTTTCTTGGGAATTGCAAAGGACTAGGGCAACTGTGGTAATCAAAATAACTTCTGTGTCACAAACCCCCTAGAATGAGCTGTTAAACCTGCTCTACTGCTCTGCTAAGCAGTGATCCAGATACGCCATCATTCAGGCTGTGGGCACTAAATTCAGAGCTGTTGGGAAAATTAAATAACCTTTTTAATGGTATCAGCTCTGCTTGTCAGAGCTTACCTAAATCACTGCTCTGCTGAAAAATAACTTTTTTTGCAGTAGGATATCTTATTAAAGATGCCTGTTGTAGTGTCTGAGATCTTCAGTACTGTGTTACTGATGGACTGTGAACTGTTTGAGGAGATAGCGGTGAAAATTATCTATACTCATCTGCATATTTTGCTTATCTTTTTTATGAAAGCAGATCCTGCACTATCAGCTTGCAAACACAGCTGGTCTTTCTTAAGTTATGTGACTCATGAGGCTACCAAAGCACTTACCTTGTGTTTTAGCACTTGTATTTTGATTTTTTTAAACTGGGCTTTTTGGAATGGCTGCTCTGGTTGCAGAACATCTCATCTGTGGGGGAATCCTTCCTTGTGGTGAAGATTTCTTGATACTTTTATAGAAAAAGCAAATAGCTAGAACTTGTCTCTTAGGAGAAGTAACCACTCTTTCCCACTTCACCTAAAAGAAAAAGGAAATGAAAGAACTCTGGATTATTTGCAGCTACTGTATTCAATGTAAAGTGTAATGGGTCACTTCTCTATAAAGAGTTGCTTTTGCAGTCTGAAATGCACTGATACTTCATTGTGAACCGCTTTTCACTTTGCTTGTAGAAGTGCCAGGCTGTATGTAGCTCCGCACATATTTTAAGCTGGCGGTTCCATTTAAGCGGTCCTGTCTGCCTTTGGCTGCTTCTTGCTGCGCCGTCCCTTCTTTCATGAGGACAGCTGCTTGTACAGCCACATTGTGAAACCCTATTGAGGAACTGATCTGGTGAAACTAACCCAGTGAAAGAGAGGTGGTTAGTTCTCATCCAGATCGGTTCCCCAGGGTGATTCACTGAGCAGCTGCACAAGTGCTTATTTATGGTGGTACAAATGAGGAGGGTGATGCAGAACTGCGAATAAGCAGCGGAGTTGGCAGCAGGGCGATTTGGCTGGTGCCAATGATAGCTGAATTACAACACAGTGGGTTTTTTGTTTTGTCTATTCAAATATCTTGAGCAAAAAATGATATTAAACACATAGGAGGCAACACTTAACAGAGATTTGAAAATTCCCTTGAAATAATACTTATTGTCACAGAACAGCCACAAGTTCTTGATGAGGAATTTTGGAGCCTATTTAAATTGTCTTCTGGATATGTCTTCATAGCTGATGGTCTCCTGGCTAAAGCTAATTATCTTTGGTCAGGAGAGGTTAATTAACTCTGAATGCTGCCTCTGTGGAGTTCTGAGGAAATCTGAGTAATGCAATATAATATCAGCGACAATGTAGTGGGCAAGCTGGAAGGTTTATTTTCAGGATCCAAGTCCTTCTGTCATCATGACCTCATACTAAAGAATATGAACAAGAAAACTGTCCATGTAATTGGAAACTTCTTCCCTATCAGCTAGGCTAAATGGACAAGTAATGGGACAGGAGGGAGGAGGAGAGTGATGACTAAGTTAGTGATTTAAATAGACATTCATTACCTGTTGCATGCTGAGTCCTGAACTGTGTTGTGGTCTCACAGTCCCAAATTTAATGTTCCTCTTCCAACTGGTTTGGGAGAAGTGAGACTTTAGACTTTGGGATAAATTCCAGACTAAGGGTGCACAGAAGTCACAAACCATGGAGATAAGGACTCTGCTCTTGTCCAGAGATGTAGCTGTAGGTTATGACACTCCACAGCTTTTTCCAAACCTCATTGCACATAGTGAAAGATGAGAAACTTGTCTGGCTTTGCTTGAGGGCTACTTCATTGTAACATACTACTTAAACCAGTCACACAATTAGTTTGCAATCCTAAAAAGACCTGGAGAAAGTTACCCCCTCAGCTGGATGCTATGTGGGCTATTCTTCTTAGATTTTAAGGGATTTAAAAAAAAAATCAAAAATGAAGGGGGAGGTGAACATGGTACATGACTGATTTGTATGCTACTGAAGTTAATTAAAGGAGAGAAATGGCACATAAAATCCTTGAATCATTTTTATAGGGAGTGCAATGTATGTTCAAAGCCACTTCTTAAGGAATGTTTAAGTTGCTTATAAAAATGGCTAGCAAAACTACACAGCTTTAAGGATAGGTTTGAAATAATGTACAAGGTCCATATAGTTTTGTGTTTTTTTTTTTTTTTTTTTAAGTGAGGCTTAATCTTTCTGTTGATATTCCTGATACCAATTTCAAACAAAATAAGACCATGTGGTTCTGCAAATAAGCAGCTTAGGAGGTTGGGTATGGTTTTTTTGTTTGTTTGTTTGTTTTTAATTTTGTATTGCACGTATATAGTAGAGGTATTTGGGCATCCCATCTCAGGCTCTGTTTTTAGTGTAACTCATAAACAGACGTTGCAGGAATGAATCCACCAGTGGTTTTGAGTCTGTCACGTGAGAAATTTAATATTATTCTTATATATTTCCGGGAAGGAAAACTAATATATCACTTAAGTGATATAAAGTGTCACACTTTGATTCCAAAACAGATGATGGCCTTTCAACTCTTCTTAAAAGCCTTTTAGGACAAGCTGCAGAGAAGTTGTCTTTTGGTTTCAAAAGCATTTTGAATCTGCTTTTGGTCAATGTGGGAGTGTTTCTTTTAAGGTGGATCCAGACTTACAAATTAACAAGGTTTTGGGGAAAAAGTAGTATGCTGTAAAATGAACTCTGTGGTAAAAAGATGCACCACACCAATTGTTTGAGGCTTGTAGGTGGTTTGTGGTGATCCAAAAAGGATAGGGAGCCATTTGTCAACGCCCCCATGGTAGATGGGTGAGACACTGGTAGGTTGAGAGATTGATTGGGAGAATATGATACTGAAGGATTTGGTGAGAGCTTTATATATTTGAAGTGGCAGTTTGCCAAGTGCTAAGTTCATGGTAGTCTGTTTTAAGCATGCATGGGTTTTCAGAGTTAAAATAAGAACCATAGCTAAGCAATGATTTAAGACTGGACAGTCCTACAAAATTGCTTTGTTAACTAGTTGAATTTAACAATAAGGTAATAATGTTAAGTATTTGTCAGAGACGAAGGGCGTGGTATGCTTTGAAGTTGAGGATTTTAGCCACAACTATTAAAGCTGTTTGGCACTTAGAGGAGGGGGGAGAGAGAGGGATTGATTCATTCTGATGATTTTTGTTTGAGATACAGTATTGTAGCAAACTAACATAGTGTTGGAGTTGGATGAAATCACCTAAACTAAAGATTTTAGTGACATATTCTAGTGTATTTAATCCAAGAGAAAAGGACTCGGTTATCCAAACAGATGGTAGCTGACAGGCATCAGAAATTTGACTGGGCCCTTAATTTTCCCTGAAAATCTGGATATACCTTTCTGATGTACTTTACTTTTAGTTAAGGTTGTTACAGCGGTTTTCAGGATTACTGTAAATTCAGGAAGTTTTGTTCAGCCAGTTATGTATGGCTCTGGGTTAGGTGGTGGTTTATTTTGGAGCTCTTGGTCCACTAGTGCTTGTTGAAAATAGCTTTGGCTAGGAAGTGTTTCCAGTGTGATGATGCAGAACACCTGGGTGACACTGCTGCTGTTTGATGCTAATAGTGTCACACATTTGCTTGAAACTGCTCAAATAGTTGGGGTGATTTAAATATGTAGAATAAAAATTACGTATAGGACATGAGTAAGAATAGCTTGTCTTGTATATCGGCGTTGCTTAATCTGATCTCATAGGTGCTAGTTGTTGCTTGTCCAGTCAGTGGCTTTGCTGAATGCTTATTGTTTACACTAGCTTTCTGCCAAAGAAAAAAAAATTGAGTGCTTGGTGGGATTTTTTTGACAATGGTGCTTTGGAAATCATTAAAATGCTTTATTACAATAAAAAAGCGTTCAATTTAATTTAAGGAAGTTCTTCAACTATTTACATTTTTTTCTTATTTTTAGCGCCGGCTTCGTCATCTTCGGAATATCGCTGCACGTAACATTATCAATAAGAATGGTTATCGCCTCTTGGATACATACTTCACTCTCCACTTATGTGATAACACCAAGATATACAAAGGTACACTAGGCTTGCTATCAACTTTTTTACCACTTAAAATTTGAATTCTTATGGTATGAATGCTTTGTCCTTTTTTTTTTTTTTCCTTGACAACCTGCTGCCATTGCGTCACATATGCTAACAGTGGAGAAGACCTCTTTAGTTTCCTGAACTTCATAAAAGCTTTCAGTGTTAGCAGCCAAGGAAGCAAAACAGATGACAGATTTGGTAGAGTCTCTTAAATCAGCCTATTTTTGTTATTGCTCTCCTCTCCCTGCCCCCCCCCCCAACAATTTAAGAAACTTGGCGACTTCAAGAGCACAGAAAAGTTAAAGCTTTTGGACCCTTAGTTGCTTTGTGTGGGGGAGAGTGTTCCACTCTGCGTACCAGTTATTTTACAGAGCATAAACCAGCACTTACTATTATTGAAGTTTTCCAAAAATAGAGTTGTCAGCCAATGACACAAAGCATCCAGGCATCTGTTCTGCTTTTGATAACTGTGTTTGAGTGTTACATTTCGTTTCTCTTTAATGCTTTGCTTTCCACTGCAATGTATAGTTCTTTGTTGTGGAGAGATATTATTAAAAATATACATTTATGCCCCTTTTGATGTGGTCAACAGTTGGAGCTTTGTAGGCAAATTTTGGTTTTCTCCTAATTTTTATTTTCAGCTACTGTAGTTGAACCTTGTTTTTTTTTCCAAGGTCATTGTTTCAGAAGGGTAGGAGTATGTAACTTGAGCTTGCTACCTGGATTTTCTTGTAGTGGTTGGTTGAACCTGTAACTGATCACCATTTCTACAGTGTTTGGTGTAAGGGACTGTTCTGTACTCCATCAAAGCTTTATCCTTGGACTCCAATGGACTGAGGGATATTGTACAAAATCTGTATTCCAGCCTCCAGAGCTGTCTACCTAAAGCCTTTAAGCTCTTATTTTGGCTGGGGAAGCCAGGGTCCGTGTGTCAGCACTTGCTTATTTCCATTCAAATACAGGGTTCTTGGCACTTCTGTGAGGTAATTTGGCTGTTCACTTTCTAAGCATCTGGAACAGGTCATCCTTGCTCTTCAGGAAAGCAGTGCAATTAGTGTATCCATGCTGCACTCCTCCAGGAAGATGTTGTATGACAAACTAGTCGCTTTGTGAATGTCATCCAAATATTGTAAAGTACTGAGGCATGTTCTTTCCCCAGAAACCAAAGCCTCAGTAAATCTTGAGGATTATCTTGGGTATAAAGATGAAATGCTAAATTTAAATAATGACTTCTAATAATTAAGTGTGAATGAGTACTTTTAGTCAAAAGCAAGACTGCATTTTAAAGTTTTTCTCATGAATCTGTTGCTGATAAACTAGACCCACTAGCGTTTGTCTTTCATGAGTGTTACTTATTTTAGCTTTTTCTATTTCAAATACTAAGATTTGTATCAACGTTTAAGCTAATCTAAAGGTGTTTTTTACTCATTTTTCTTTAGAATTTTATAAGAGTGAGGTGATCAAGAATTCTCTGGTAAGTTATTTTAATATGGAAAAACTCTCTTTTAAAAATTGTATGTGTACTGCAGTATATTGATTTCTTTGCTGAATACCATAAGTGTTAAATGTTTATTTCCACTCTTCAGTTCTGCTGGGAGCATTACATTCTTCTTCTCAGGTTCTTTTCACAAGGGTTGGAATAGTGAGTTACTGAATAGTAGAAATGCATGTTTGTTTTAACAGCTGTGGAGCAATGCTCTGTTGGTAGTCCTGCAGATAGGACTAAACACTCCAAGGGTAGGGCCTTTTCATGTGAAAACTGTTCAGTGCTCAGTTTAAGCTTTACAGTATATATCCATTTTAAATATTGAGAACACCAAATAGGCAAAATAATGTTAGCTGGATTTTTACTGGTTTAGCTTCTTTCAGTATCTAAGAATTGTATGCATCATAACTCAGGTTTTTTTACATTTAATTTTTTTTTTTTTTTTTTTTTGTTCTAGCTGGTGTTGGCAACAGATATAGCTGCTTTTATTTAAATGTCTGCAAATTGCTTATTCAGATAGCACTTGTATATTACTTTGCTGGGTGTACAGATTCATTAGAAGCTAATGCTTTGCAGTTTAGCAGCTTTGGTGTAGAAGTAGAGGCTCTGCTTGCAACACCCCAAATAAAGGGAGAGTCAAAACAGTGTTGCAGAATATACCACTGATTTCTTTGAACATCTTTTTGTTGTATAGGTAAACAGTAAGGAACATGTACCTGCACATATAAACTTTATATTCTTTGAAGAGCTAATAGCTTTAAGAAACTGAAGTTTGAAAATGCCTTAGAGTTTCTAAATTTTCCAGTTCAGATCAGTGAATGGACCAGAACTGAACTGTTTTACAACTGAGAAGGGGTAGGTCTCATGGTGGGAATATCGTGTTGCAAGTCTTGGGTAAGGAAGTTTGAAAACCTGCTAAATAGACATTTTAATGTCTTCATTAACAAGGTAAAACTGCACCATTTATGGCACACTGGGCTGTAAATGCTTTGAAAACCTGCTGAATGGAGGAAAAGCTGCTTACGTCTTCAAGGCTGTTAAATTGTCCAAGAGACATCTTCCTTGAGACTTTAGGATTTTGAGTTCTGCCTATTCTAAATCAGGAAAAGGAATAACAGAAAGGGAATCTAACCAAAGGAAACATGAGATGGAATGACAAAAATCTAAATAGAAGATGTCTTGAGCAAATTCTGTACATCTATGGGTGTTTTAATGGCTTGTTATTCTTGGGTGTGAATAACTACCAAATATCCCTTCTCCTTAGGAAAACTTGATTAATGCATTCCTTCTGTGATACTTACTGGGTAAGTTAGTGACAACATCTGAGGATTGCCATCAGCATCAGTCAAGGAGAAGAATGTGAACAAACCTGTCAATAAATTATGCAACCTTAATTATTGGGGAATAGATAGGTGTTTTAAATTGAACTTGTGCAATGTAAGGTATACTCTAGTTTTCGGAAGCTGAATTATAACTTGGAAAGTTAATTCCACTTTAAAGTTCCTGATTTGGCTAAACTGAATTAGTAAATTCTGAAGTAAATTCTTCAACATCTTGTAGTGGGAGGAAGCAGAGCCCGCTCTGAGTTTCTGAAGTACTTTACAGCATGTAGCTTTCAACCCAGGTATTCTTTCTAGAAAACAGAATAAGGAAGCAGCAGAGCCTGTTGGCTTCAACTCTGTGTAAAACTTGAAATGGCTGGTGTTCATTATTATTAAGGTTTTTTTAATCTTTGACATGAACTTGCTACTTTCTGAATTGTCAATTTTAGGACTACTTTCAGCTTGAGTTGTTTTTATCCCTCTTTGAATATCTACAGAATCCGACATGGAGGAGTCTGGACTTTGGAATAATGCCTGATCGTCTTGATACCTCTGTCTCTTGTTTTGTTGTGAGGATCTGGGGTGGCAAGAAGGAGCACTTTCAGCTTTTGATTGAATGGAAGGTCAATCTAGATGGGTTAAAGTACTTGGGCCAGCAGGTAATGTGAAACAGTTTGTCTCAACTTTTTACGTAAGGAAACAAACACGTGGATGAACAAATAGATAGAACGCTAAGAACGGAAATGAATGCACTTGAAGGGTGTATTTTAAAGTTTGATTGCAGAGATTCATGTTAGCTTACCTCAGAGCTCTAAATCTTGACTAGCTGAATATTTTAAGTTACCATTGTTGACTGAGCCTCTCAAATGATACTGCTAGTATGTGGTGCTCTAAATTGCAATGCCTCAATTCGAGGAAATAGTGATATGATTGTACATATAGTTAAATGAACATAGATCATAATGTTTGTGTATATTACAGTTTTAATCCATTCTCACGGTAGTGATATCCCATCAGAGATCTCCAGTCCAAGCAGCTTACTGTATAAGGCCTGTTCTAATGCTGCTATTTGTCTCTTACTAGTAGCCTTTTGAAAGAGGTGAAAAGTGAGGTGTTTTCTGTATCGTGGAGCTTATAGTAAAAGTGGCTCAAAAAGAAACCCATATCACATAAATAATAAAAACCAAAAAATAGGGTGCCTTTTAAATCAAATAGGTTGCCCTAATTCCAATGGGCACTTTTCGATTGATTAATTGATAGGATCTATTTAGAATAGATCATAGTTTATTTCTCACTTAAAAAAAAATAATCATTTAGTTTAAATTGGGGTGTTTCAAAGCCTGGGAAGAAAGCTTTATAGGGAACGACTGCTCTAGCTTCACATGGTGCATTGATCCTGGTCAGTACTCCGTGCACTGGTGGGCTGGGAGAGAGTCAGAGGAGCAAAAGTGAGGAAAAACTCATGGGTTGAGATAAAGACAGTTTAATAACTGAAAGGAAAAAAAAGCGGGGGCTGGGGAGGGGAGAACAAGTGATGCAAAGGTAGTCAGTCACCACCTCCCACCAACAGACAGATGCCCAGCTAGTCCGTGAGCAACAGCTAACTTGCAAAGACTGACCCGTTTTTTACTTCTAAGCATGATGTTATATGGTCTGGAATATCCCTTTGGTCAAGTCAGGTCAGCTGTCCCAGCTGTGTCCCCTCTGAAGCTTTTGCACACCCCCAGCCTACTCACTGCGGGGGCAGAGCAAGAAACAGAGGAGGCCTTGGTGCTGTGCAAGCACTGTTCGGCAATAGCTAAAACACTGGTGTGTTGCCAACAGTGTTTTAGTCACAGATCTAAAACACAGCACCATACGGACTGCTATGAAGAAAATTAACTCCATCCCAGCCAAACCCAGTACCCTTCATATTGTAGCTTTCTTTCCATTTGTTCTTACCAGACAGGAGAGATGGCTCCCTAAATAATACGCTCTAGTGCATGGTTTTATTTGAAATAATGTTCTTTGCATTAATAGTAGGATTTTAGCTATAATACTGCACGCTAATTTTGTGTCTACTATGACCATAAAAGCCTAATTTTTAATTATCTTTTTAGGTAATACCATGTGAAAGCTAATTACTCTTGAGACTTACCTCTTTGATTAGTTTCCTGGTCTCTTAGTTTTGTCAGCTGGAAATGCAACAATAGGAAAGATGCTCTGGCCTGTGTTTCTGATTTCAGGATAGAATAGCTGAACATACTCAGTGACCGTTATTAAAGCTGTGACGCAAATACATTCTCTATGGTTAAATTCAGTTTTTTCTTAGGTTTCATGTTTGTCTAGAATTACAGGTGCTGAAAAACTGCATTTGACTATCAAACAGAGCAATTTAAGCTCACTTGTAGTGTAAAGGCATAGTAAGCTGACCGTAAAATGATTTTTCTTCTCACAGATACATGCAAGAAACCCAAACGAGATTATTTTTGGTCTCAATGATGGTTATTATGGAGCTTCATTTGAACAGAAGGTAAGGGTATCTCGTATTTGTTCTGGCTTGTTAGTACTGGTGACAAGCTGCAATTCAACTTCTAAACTTAAATTTTCACACTTGGATGCTCAGAACATTAAAATGCTTAGTTTTGAGAAGAAATACTTTTTTGACATGACAGATAAGAACTGTTATCTCACCTCTGTTACATGGACATCTGAGCTGTTCTGGAAAGACTTAAAGCATAGCATTTTAAGTCCAAAAAAAGCCTGGTTACTGAAAATACGCCTTGACTTTATTCTTTGAGGCATTCAAACATACAACGTTTTGAAAATGGTGTGGCTGTTCAGACTCATTTTCATGGTAAATACAAAAGTCCACTAAGTTTTGGTTCTCACTCTTAAAACCAGAGTTTGTAGCTTCTAAATGGGAACCTAATTTTTTTGCTCTGTTGCAACTCTTTCACCCCATTTTTTTTTTTTCCCCAAAGGCTCCGCTGTAATATTTGTGCTTGTTCAGCCAATATTGTGAGTGCAGCCAAATTAATTACATGGCAGTGCTGATTACTACATTGATGATGAAAAGGTTTAAACTTACCTATTGTAAATAGCACAGCTGACAGGGTCCTTTTTTAATCCCAAATTGCTTGTGGCAGTACTGTGGTATAGATAGGTTGTATAAGGAGTCCTTGGCTGGAGACAAAATGACTCTTGACGCACAGCTACAGTTTCTGCATTAACCACAACCAGCAAGTCCAGTCTTGTGGGGATTTGAATGGAGGCAGTGCCTTTATAGTCAGCAACACAGGTAACCATTCTTATGTAGGGAGAGTGGAGCAAGGGACAAGGTGGCTAAGTGTTCAAAACTCTGGCTGTATGCAAGCCTCCAAACTCTGTTTAGTATTTTGATGGTTATCCTTCAAATCGTAGATGGTTTGGTACATAGCTCAGACTCTGCTTCCTGGTACTGTTAACTGAGTTTTCCTGAAGCAGGATGCAATTCTAGTTTTTCATGGTTTGAGTATTAATAAGCTGGGCCTGAATTCAATGTTGGTAATGCTATCCTCTTTCCTGATTGTTTGTTGTCAGGACTTGCTCCCTAGCTCATAAGCCTTACAAGTACATCTTGGTTTTGGTTCTTGTACGTGCTCCGTAGCTAAGCTACAAATACAGTCATAGCCTATGTAGAGCACAAATAATCTCCTTCTTTGTGCTTCCCTATAATTTATTCAGTTCTTTCTGGCTGCAAGAGCTAGAAATTTATTTTGTCACCCTGCTCTGTAGCTTCTGATTGCTTTCTTTGTCAGTTCCTTGACCTAAATCTCTTCTTGTATAGTACATACCTCCTGTTTTTAAGTGACTTGTCTGCCCTTCAAGCCAAACTAGTTGACACAAGTAAACTCTTACTGTAACCTGAAGAAGCTGTGTGCACCTAAGGGGTATTTCTGCTTTTACTTGGTCTTGCTTCATAATTTTCACGTCAGTGCGGGATATTCTAAACATTACACAGCCCCACTTTGGTGGTTATACTAAATACTCTGAAGCACCACCTGAAACCTTCTGTAGAAAGGGATTTTTGGTGTCAGGTTTTTTTATCTCCTGTGGTGTTTTTTTTCGTTCTGATGGTCATAGTGGGTCTCTGTAATACTTCAACACGTCTTAGTAATAAGCCTCAATTTTTGAGATAATACATGGATGGAATAGCAGTTTTTTCTTTGCACTGGCACATATGAAACTTTGTTATCAAAACCGATGCTTACTAATATAATTTTGTGAGTCTAATGAAAACCTTGTGCACAAAGACACTTCAGTCAATGTTGGAAGCATCCTCTATTTTTGCATGTCTCAGTATGAACAAAGTTAAGGTATCATACTCTTATTTTTTTTCCCCATTGCTCAAAAAAATCCTTGTTACTTTAATAATTCTTTGGACTATGAATTAATTGCCAAAGTAGATTTATGGAGTCTTACAATAAAGTGCATTTTATTAGTGTATTAAATGTCTCTGTCATTAATTAAGACCACTTATGAGCCAAAATAAGAAAATTGTTGGAAGCTGACTGAACCATTCTGGCAATATTTCATGAACTCAGAGTTTCAAAACACACTGTAGATGTACTTCTGAGCATTGCTTGATCCATCTGGAACTAAATGCAAATTCCCATTTTCTGTCCTGTGAACTTAACTGTAATAAGAGAGGTGGGAGCCTAAAAGCTATTGTAGCAGAATAAACTGAAGCAGGGCAGGAACATTAGTGACTGTCACAACTGTTGTTTTTATTGATGAAAATTGTAGATTTCTTGATTAAACGCATATCTCTCTGGTAAAAAACAAACAAACAAAAAAACAAAACCAGCAAGAGCAACATGCTCAAATAGGAATATTCTAATTGCTAAATTGTTTAATTTAAAATCAAAGGACTGGAAGCTTACAGCTTTACTAGGTAATGCACTTTAGCTGCTGTTCTAGAACCTTCAAGCCTGCTTGCGTATAAGGTAACCTTCAAAATGCAGGTTTGTGCTCAAAATGCTTGCTAATTTTTAGGAAGCTCCTGTCATATAAAGGAGCAGCAGCACTCTAGCAGCAACACTGGTGGAGAAATTCTAGGTAAACCAGACAATGGTAGTACTGCAATTTTTGTCTTAAAATAAAATAACCATATCCAGGGCCTCTTTATTGTTGTTAATATCATCACTGACTCTTCACTTTTTTTCCTGCTGATGTCAAAAAGCCTTTAAATTCTGTATCCTTGACAATACATAGGTGTTAGAAATTTTACATTTCTTCCATCTCTTCTGTCCAACAGCAACTCAGCTGTTGCTGATACGCAATGAAAAAATGAATGTTTTCTTTGGGTAATGTTCTTATTCAAGTTGCAGTTTTCTTGCTGCAATGGATACTTAGCTCATGGCAAGAAAAAAGTTGGGAAGTAGGGTTTCCGAAGCCTTTGTGCATGCCTTCTGAGCCCTGAAGGTTATTAGTGCTTTATTGTAGGTGTCTGACAGTGCTCATGTAACTCCTCCTCTAGTGTTTACAGCTTTTCTTCTCAATGTAAATACAAATGTGTGCTCCCAATATAGTTGCTTTGTTCATAACCACATTTGACTTTCACATAATTGTTCCTCCAACTTCTGTTTTTGTTCAAGCTTTTTTATTATTATTTTGTAGTAAATTCTGCAGCAATTTTGCTAGGAGATTTCAGCAAGATTCTGCTGCTTTTGTCACAATCGTGTCCTGTTTATTTTCCTGTTTTCTTTCTGGCATGGGACCACTGGAGCACTTGTTCCTCTACTAGTTTCATCCTCTCTAGTAATCATACAGTGAAACTCTATTTGGATTTGCTCGAACTGGACCAATGTTTGAATAAGATAGATATGAGTGTCAGAGATTTTTTTGAAGCTGTCAGCCTGGACTTAAAGTATTCCCAGTCCTTTAGCAGTTCTCTTAATCTGTTTGGTTTTGTCTGAGACTGCATGCTTGTGTGTAAATCCACTTTTTACCCAGGTTCAACAAAATCAGTTCTGTGTGCTATATTGGCTTTCCTAAACCCAGGTTTCTTCTTCTCTGGTTTCCTCTGCTTTCCTGGCTTTCAAATTTTCTTTCAACCATTTTATGCTTGCTGCTACTAATCGGTCAGATTTGCCCTTGCTATTGCAGTGATATCTTTTCAGAAAATGCATTTAGGGAAGCAGGTATAGCTTTTAGTTAATGACTAGCTTTCTGTTGTCTCCTTAAAGAAATAAAACCTGAACTAGTCTATACAGTTCTCCGTAACTCAAAACATTTGGCTGTGGCCAGGGGTATGGGGAAACAGAAGATTAAGTTATATTCTTCAGGGATACTGAATTGTAGCTATTTTTCAACTGTCAAGCAAGAAAGGCCCTTATCTTTGGAAAGCTGCATCTCTCTCTCCGGTATGTGGTCTCCATCAATGTAGGTAGAGTCTTTACCTGCATATGCATTTATTTATTTATTTATTTATTTTAGCAGCTAGACCCTGGCCACTTTGCACAACCAAAGCCTGTTTGTGTGTTTTCAAATACATGTGCCTATATCTAATAAGTGTTGTGGCAGAGAAGTAGACAAACTCCCCCTTCACAGGGCACACTTCTTTAATAACAAAGTTTGAAATGCTTCCATTGCACATACTGCAAGTTTCCTCGGGGTAGAACAGTTTGTATAGGTGATGTGGTGTCTGACTTTTTGGGAATCTCCTTTCAACACAGTGTAGTACAGGGGAAAAAGAAAAGTCTAAAATATGTTGCTGCTCCAAATTCTTTCCTTCCTGAAACTAGTTATTCTAGGCTGTTCCACTTGTTCTCTGAAAAATTTGCACTTTGCCGTCTGAAGGCAGTGTTTCTTGAAATGACATCAACTTCATGGTGTAAAATGGTGATGCTGATAGTTGTGCATTTTCAGTTTTCCACCATCCTAGTTCATTCAGGCATTAAGATGACTTTATTTTGGTATTTTTTCAGCAGATATATGTATGGATTTCAGCATGTAGGATCCAACATCTTGAGAATGGAAATGAGGAGCTAAGACAGCTGATGATATGGTGCCTCTGTTGCAATATGATGCATAATGTAGTGTAGAGATCTCACAATTATTTAGGTAGAACCTTATTTTTGGTGGAAGGGAATGTCTGCTGCATGGCCTGTGGCAAATGCGGTTGTGTCAGCAGATGTTGATGTGTAACTCTGCATTTCAATGTCTTCTATATGGAAACATCCTGTTGAGGCAGGAAAGAATACATAGGCAGGGATTGTGGTACTTGGAGTTAATCTGTATCACTGTTGGAAAATTAACTGATCATGTGTACCAGCTGGGGCCACTTCATACACTAAAATAAATGCCTTTTTTCCTACAATCCATAAACTTTCTGACAATGCTGCCAGGTGGTTTGACCTACTTAGAATTTGCTTTATCATGTGAAGAAACAGTTCTGAGATTGTGGCATTTCTAGGAATTTGTGTGACTGTACCTGATATGGAAAAGCTCGGTATCTGACCTTTGCAGCGTGAAGAATTGCGGTTTGTCTGTTACTGCTTTGATGCCTCTTGAGCAGAATGTACACTTTGGTCTCTTAAGAATGACATAAGGTTTTTTTTGGTTTTTTTGTAACTTCCAGAAACTTGTTCACATCATTCAAAACTAAGATTGCTTTGATCTTTTAAACATGTTACAGCATGGATAAAGAATAGAGCTTTATCTTGTGGTCTTGTACATCTCTGGCACATTACTGAATAGGCTCTCAGATCTGAAGCTGAAGAATGGCAGTACTGTAAATTGCATCCTTCAGTATTTCTGTGCATAAAATTTGTGCAGTAATGGATTATAAAGTTAAGAAAACATACTCCAGGTCTAGAACACAGCTAAAGTGATGGGTTGTTAACATCTTTATAGGTAAGTGCTATTGTAGGCCAGACTTGAACTTGGTGTTATTGGCACCTTAAATTGTTTCTACCTACCGTACATAAAACTGTATGAAGATAGATTTAAGATACATTAAATGCAAGATAGTTTGTTGTTTTACCAGAAGTGCTTGTTTTTAGTCAAGATGGAAAAATTTTTGATTCTTAAATTAACATTCTTTCTTTGCCTTAAGGATCACTCAGGTACCCTGAAGAATAGTCTTCTCCAGGTGGATCAGAACTGTGTTCGTAACTCTTACGATGTCTTCTCTTTGCTTAGGTAAGGTTTTTGAGAATATTCTGCGTAGCTATTGTAAATTCTGTAGTGTGCGTGGAAGGACTGGACTATCATGTGCAAAGGAGATATCTAGTAGTGCCGATTTACTGCTGGTAGCAAGGAGATGGGCCTTGATATGTGTACTTTCCTTGGTGGTGTCTAGGCTTCTGCTGTATGGATGCTTGAGTGCTCTGAACTAGAGCTGGCTGTGGAGCGAGACCATGGACTTGCCTTGTGAATGTTGAAATCATGGAGTTCCTTTGTTGGAGATCTTATGTGGAAAGCCCCTACTCTTTTTTCCTCAACAAAATTAAAATTTATTTAAATAAATTAGAACAATGATAAGTTTTGGCAAGTTGCTTTTTTTAACTTGGTAGAATGATCCCATAGCTGGAACAAAACAGCTGCACACCTAAGTGTGTGTGTGTGTGGTTTTGTGTTTTTTTTTTAACCTTGAACCACTGAATTGAATTTACCTTTTGCATAATTCTCCCTTGTAATACAGAAAAGAGGCACTGCATAGTCAGGACCCCAGTTACTCCAACACATGTATGGCATAAGAAAGGTATGGTAACTGTGTTTTTGGGTGATTAATTAGGTGTCTTTGGTGGTGAAAAACATGAAATGCTAGTATGAAGGTAAACAAGAAGACCTTTTTCAGATCTGCTTTAATTATAATAGTTCAAGAATGTTAGCTGTGGGGAAATATAATAGAGGTTTTGAACACTGTTGGTAGGTTGGTTTTGAGGAATTTGTATTTAAAAGGCATTTTACAAGACAAGATAACTTCAGTTCTGCAGTAATAGCAATAGATGTGCTACAAAGGAAACCTTCAGAAAGGAAATGTTTAATATGCTTTCAAAAGTATTTGGAAAAATGCATTTGGTTTTTTATCTGTTGTAAAAGTTGAATCCATTTGATAATGTTAACAGTAGGTGTCACTGTTGCCTGCATAAAGCATTAGCGTTCTATTCTAAAGTGAAGAAAGTGGTAGGAAAAGTTAACTCCAGGTTGCTTATTCAGAAGTCTTTATTTTATAAGCTCTCTTAAAATTTAAATGTGCTGTTTCTTGATTCTGTAAAATGTATTTAAACTAAAGGCTGCTTTTGAAATGTCTGTCTTCTGTACTTTTAGCAGAAAACAACCAGGGGGCGTGTTAATGAAGTTCTGATTACATTCTGGCACAGTCCATTAGAAGAGAACTCTTATGCTACCTAACATTAAGTTTTTGTTAAATAGAAGAAAATGTGTGCCCGTCATCCTGCTTGCTTTGCTCACGCATTTTTTTTTTCACATTTCCTTTGCACTTCTTTGTAGTATGAAGCATGCTCCAGAAAAAACACTCGCTATTATACCAGGTGGTCATGGACTTGACCAACTGGAGCCCTGTCTAACCCTGTCTAATCTGAACTGTGGTCCTTCTTCTGAAAGTGTCTGACTGTCTATCACAAAGCTGACAAGAAATGAAGATGTCAGCTTTGATAAAGCTCTTCTTGCTGGATGCTCACCAGTGCTGTTTTGAAACCTGATTACTGGAACCATGCGCTTTGCTCAGTCTTGGGAAGGTGAGAGTCCAGGCACTGTCTCTTACAGTTTCTAGGCATGCTGTTGGGTGTAGCTCCTGTTTAGCCCTGCCTCTGAGCTAAGACTTCCTCCTTTGTTTTTGCGTTGTCCTAAAAGGAACAGTTTTTCCAGACCTCAGCACCAGGAATGCTGCTGATTATATTTCAGTGGAGTCTGCATACCCTATCAAGCAGTGTATATTGCATTGTCTAGTTCCAGCAAAAGTTAGAAGTTATAATTTGTGACCATACCTAGGTGCTATTTTTGCCTGTTTCCTTCCTAGCTAGGGAAGTTCTTCAGGAACTGAGGCAAAGTCCGCTGTGTAGTCCAGAATCCTTTCTATTATCTCTCACATTAACTCTGCTTTTTTACAGGTATACTTTCTCTACTGCTGCTTACCTTTTGATATTTAGCTCAAAAGACTGGTGATAGTGTTTATTTCTTTTAAAATAATCTCTAGTCTCTTCTTGTCAGGTTTCCTCTTTCTCCTACCAAGCAGTCTAGTTTGCCACCTCCTCCAGGTGTCCAGGCTTGAGTAACTAGCCCATGGACTCTTTCCAAAGATAGTTTTTGTGAGAGCGTATTCCACTTACAACCAGAAGAGAGATGGGCATACTTTGAGTGGCGATTCATTTGACAGGACATGTACTTTGGGAGGAAATGGATTGATGTCTGCCTGCTTCTGTCCATTGGCTATAAAGAGAATAGGGAGGTGTCTACACCGTAAAGGTTTGCATCTGGTCACATAAATCCCACATTTTGAAGACTTTCTCATGATATGATTTTTGTCTAGTAAAAATTCACGAGCTGCACATGTCACTTCCTAATGTTTCCATGAGACACGAATATGAAGAACAGCTTGTACTGGCGTTGTTTAAACTTCTCAAAAAAGGAAGGCAATTCCTGGTGATGGTGGTATCTGCATCCCAGTTATTCTGATGGTACCGTGCTGCCAGCTGTGGCATAGCCACTGTGATCAGCTGTACAGTGTGAAAATCAATTGAGAGTGCAGATTCTAGCTCAACCCTTAACTCTTGAAAAACTGGAAAATGAGAACTTCTATGGTTAATCTCTGCTATCAAAACTGCTTTTTGGGGAAGAAATTATTTAATTTTTTTTTTCTACTTCTAAGAAGTGAATAGCTAGAACTTATGAAGCTTGTGAATAGGCCTTAATGAAAAGCACGTGCTTGGCTCAGATTATGTTGATTAAAAAAATTAATTAGGCATGCTAGAGTGTGTGAACAGTAGAAAATTTTTCGAGTGTTGGATTAAAATAGTGCCTGTGTGCTCAGATGCTTAATTACATGGATTTACAAGTTAATTAAGCAGGAGGAAAAGTTTAAGTACCCAGACAGCTTAGCTTTACACAAGGAAGTTCTCAGCACCTCTGCAGCTCATGAACCTTCTTGTTTTGGGGTAGGGTCAAGATCCTCAGGCAAACATAGTGCTGCTAATAAGTTGTTCATGCCATATGGAAATGACGAATGTTCTTCCAGCCATTTGTTTTAAAAAGGCTAACTAACAAAAATTAACCACCCCAACTGGAAAGCTAAAATTTTGAGGTTTTTGTCCCTTGGCCATATTGTCAGATTTCCTGAAAAGAGGTCACTTAAAGGCTTTCTAAATATTATGTAGCTGGTGGTAATAGGTTATACAGTAACACATTTCACCTTTCACATAACACTCAGGATAGGCCAAATTCATCTGAGGTCATGTTCTGGACATGTCTCCATAATCAAGCTCTCAGCACGTTTGCAGCACTAATGGGAATAGCTTTATATTTAGTATTCTCTTAGTTTTGTATCCTTTCTTTTCTTTAACCTTTGAAAAACAGACCTTTCAGTATTAAGTGGTGTTGGGAAGATGGGATATGCTGACAATCACTAAAGAAAGGGCTTAAAATCCTGTATGTTAAAATTTTATTTCAGTTCCTAAATACAAAAAGTAGTATCTTGTATTCTACAACAGCTTTTCATGGTATTGTGACACTTAGAGGAATTGGCCTGCTAATAGCTTTTGTGCCTTTAAGTATGTGAGTGCCTGAAATCCTCCCAGATTCTGCCTGGAGACAAGTAGTGCTCTAAGAACTAGTGAAACCTGCCCCTTTGAAATTTTGCTTCCTGTATTTTTATCTCCCCAGTCAAAACAGCTTTTGCTATGGCTTAACCATTCCTTAAGCAGATGGGATGGCAAGTTTGTGCTATTTAGCCAGCCGGTTAGTGCAGATTGAAAACATTTTTGATTGTATTTTTGTTTAAAAAAAAATATTGTTTTTAACAACAACAAAATCTGATATTGGTACAATTTGAGTGCTGGAGATGAGTAAAAGACCAGGTCCAGGCAACTGCTGTAATATTGCTAATATCTAATCTGGCTGAAGTTGATTTAAATAATACTTTTAGGTGTTAAAGGGCTTCCTCTGCTACTGCCACATGTACATCTGATCTAGTGGATTAAATCTTGAAAACTAGAGCAACTCCAGAGACCACACAGGCTGTGCCTTCATTAAAAACAAAATGTTCTCGCAGTTCTGGTGATAAGCAAATAAATCTGGCTGCAGTTCCCTGGACAAGTAAACATGACTTTTTGAACCAAATTATAACACTAAGCGAACAGTTTCCCTGTATTTTGCATCACGGCAATGATGGCCCAGGTTCAGTGACTTTAAATGGTCCAAGGTTGCTAGTGACAAGACTGCTCTGAGGAGGATCAGAGCTCAACTTCTGAACTAGCAACTAATTACTACTTTCTAGGTTCGGGGCTCAAAGAAACTTGCAGTGCACTGTTGAGCATTGGGCATGTTGATACATGACAAATAGAAATAGAATTTCTAGAAATTGTCTGAAGTCGCAGTGCCTTAAGTATTCCTGTCTTCTTCAGGTTTCATAATCTGTCATAGGCCAGGGGTATGCTTCAAGTGACAGGCTTTGTTTCAGGATTTGCCATTTGTAATATAACTTAATTTAAAGAAGAGTGCATGTCTTATCACTGAAGAAGTATTATTTAAGAGTATAAATGTAGGTAGTGTTTGTCTGCAGTCTGAAACTTTGAGAGGTTGGTAAAATCAACTATCTTAAATGACCAGGACTAAAACATGGGGACTCAATATAAAATCAGCTTTTGTTTAGTTCTACCTATCTCAGGAAAGAAGCTTTTTAACAGATATATTGCTTGTGTGTTTAAATTCTTCCATCTTTATTAGCAGTCTTATTGAATGAACAGAACTTACACAAGTTGATCTCTAAAACTAGAAATAGAGAAAAATGTAAGCATTTGTATTGTTGAAAAACTCATAGTAGCTCAGAGTAGTTTCTCTGAGACTACAGAATCAGTGGCATTGTACGTGCCAAATGTAGTAACTGCCTTTGGGCAGCTATTTTTAACATATGGAAATTATGCTAAACTTGAAGCTGTTTTTCATAAGCTCTCTGGGTGGGG